CGAATTCCAGTGCTAATGATTAAATCGACACGTGCTTGTTAAAAATAGCTATGATCCTACTAAATCTTTCCTACCACTCAAGTCTTCTTGTTATACTGTAGTATCTGTACTTATGATTAGGTTACATTTTGCTGGCATTATATGATAATCTAGTTCAGTAGCCATCTGAATTTTAGATAAAATTCGCTCGCTTAATTCATAATCTGTCTATATGTCTAAAATATTCTTGTTGATCTGCAGCTTTGCACATGATGTAGCATGTGTTAGCAACCCTGTGATTTCTTAGACTAATAGTGTGTCAAGATTGTCTGAAGGAATACCATGGTGTAGAATCTGGTTCTAGGTTTCAGAACATATCAAAGATCTGCTCAATGAATAAAGACTGTTTCTATTTTCTATTTATTTATAAGCAAGACAAGAAAGATCATCTATTTGATAGCAAACTATACGTTATAAAAATGCAGAGAAATGAGCAGAGGCTAGATAGTTGCTCTAAACTGTAGATGTGGACAACATAGCTGTCTAGATTTAATATCCTACATATTCTTATAATTAATGATTAGCATTACTACAGAATCAAAGGTGATGAGCATGCACGTTATAATTTTGAAAGATATCGAAAGTCAAAGCTATGTTTATTTGTTTCTGCCTTAAGTGTTTATGCTGAAAAGGATCATCTTTAACGTTGCCTTTGCTTCTTCATCTAACTCGCTATTGATGTTGTAGCTACAGCTTAATGTCGGTTCAGGCTCGCTCAACGATTGCACAGGTAAATTCAACATAACTGCAACTACCTGAGATTCTTTTAAGCCATAGGTGCAAATTAGGAAAAACAGGCTGGTGCCTATAATATTGTTGTTACTCCATTAAAGACAACCCAGGAAGTCGTTTTGTATAAATAAATTCACACTAGCAGTTTACAGTAACCTTGATCACTCTCAGTCTAGACTGTCCAAAGCACTCAACTGTCTAGTTCCACGCTTGTCGATGAGATGACCAAAAGCTTAATGTAAATATATGTTAAGAAAATCTTACCTTTGACATGTGTTGATTCCCATAGAGAGGTCAGACAATATTACACAGGCTCGAATAATATGCGCAAAATAGATAATCATAGGTGAACAACAAGTCTATTCTTGTCCATTGGTTTAAATGTAAATCTAACCTTTGGCAGTACATTCCATACATATGTGTTTTAGAGAGAAGAATAACAGTTCTCAATATGCAGAAAATCTATTTAATATCGGATCAACAAGACAACACACTCGATAGTTTATGAGGAACCATAACAATATCTTAACTAATAAAACAGAACATTAACAGATTGTGTCATTGGATCAATCTAGTTCTTGGCTATGCGACTTAATCGTATGGGATCTGTTCATAATATTGTATTAAAACATCATTATTATTAAAGAAACATATGAGATTCTTGTCGTGTGCGCTCTTTAATGATGAGGAGTCCAGTACTAGTTCTAAGTAATCGCTCGCATCGGGAACAAGAAAATGTTGGCCCCGGCCCTGCGAAGACTGAATTTGTTAGGTTTCTGGCCTCACCTTACTGTAACATTTGTGTCTAATAACACATATTATTTCCATAAAACGAATAGGAATGAACAACTCCAATTCTTGTCAATAAATGGATCTATCTTAAACAAAGTATTTCAGAATACTCTCAATGTGGATCAAGTATTTAGTGGTATCTTGATTAGACCATAGTACGATATTCGCGTTCACAAGAACACAATTTTAATGTCTAATGCATTGATCTCAGCTTACACATAAATGAACTTCCCAAAAAACAATATGGCTAAGCAACAATTTAAGGTGCAGACGTACATCAAATAGTTGTATTCAACTTACTTCTATGTCATGTACTTTTACATTACACTGAGTATAATGGATGAATAAGAAAAGTACAAAGCGATTTTCAACACATTTGTTATGAGTCACCTTACTTGAATTATCTACTAACATATAAAAGTGACAAAACGCAATAATCATCTAGCGGTCATAAACAGAACCCGATAAAACAAGTCTTAAAGGCCAAACAGGAACGCACTGGTGCGAGGAAGAAGTGCCCCGCTGTTTCATCAATTAGTTGTTCCTGTCATTCAGTGAGACGTTCCCACCTTCGTGAGTGACCATTGGAGTATTTTACAATCCATCATCATCTTCAGTTATTGATTCGTATGCTGAAACCACTGGTAAGATAAGTTGGCACCCAAGGCCATTACACCTGTGGCCTGCCTTCTTTATATTAAGCTCTAATAGAACATTCACGTCCTTAATGCACTCATATACCTCTGAATCTTACTCTAACACCACTGTGTGAGTCTATAGTTAAATTTTACACTCTGTAAGATAATGATACTGACTATCTTGACTCTAGCAATTGGTCGCCCTTGCTGAAGTTTTAACTGGCCAGCACGTTATCAGTTATGTTTCGTGTGTCAGACTGCAACAAAACACACCTTGACAATAAGCCAGAGATTAGAGAGTCTCAGAAATCCCAATACTCACGGGCGTTCGTTCCTTGATTCCAGACCGGGAGCTTGGATTGACAGGGTGCAAAGTCAAGCTCCAATACGAGAAGAGGAGCCTAGGTGGTACTTATCAATGTGTGATTCGTTGTAATCAAATGATATACCAAAAGCTTAGGTCAGTTATCCTGCTTAATTGAGGCAGTGATTGTCCTTTGGTGACAACACTCAGAGTGGTTCTGTAAGGTTTTCTGCATAAGAATGATGTCGAATATGTTAAGACTCTAGTACTTGTAATTAGTATAATTTGTATCTTATTGTATAGTTGACTTTTTTATTTTGACCATATGTTGTTCCTTAGATCTTTGCCGTCCAGCGTCAAGATGAGATATGATGTTGAAAATGAAAAAGTACATTGTTGGAGTAGAGCCACGATTTACTACAATGCCCAATAATAATGGCGTACATTCGTGATTACAATGTAATTCAATAATTGCTAGTTCAATTACGTTTACAGTGTCAGTTTAATTAAACATATTGAGTATTAAAACTCAAATTTGCTCGAATGTTCAAACCATATCAAATATTTCTCATGCACTTCATATGGTGTTTTTATCAATCTGCACAACTTGCTACCTTGTCTTTGTGAGTTTACTAGAATAAAGTGTGACTGATAATTGAACTTTGGGTTGTGAAGGTTTGTGACTTTTAAAATGTGGGTTTGGGAAACATTGTTTAGAGGTATTGGAAAAAGAATTTGTTCACTACAGTTTTTCGCCAAATACAATCAGTAAGCACCATTCAGCATTGTATTGTACTATTATCGTCATGTATATCAATGATCTCTAGTAACGCAGATATTATAAGAAAATTTCACAGCAAAATACGAGTAGGGCCCGGCTCGGGCCTGTCTGATGGTCACTACGCCAGGTAGCTGGACAGCGATAGTTTCGATCGCCACCCTGTTCTGTGGAGTAACACAATCTTTCAAAAAAATACTCAGGAATATTCTATGAGTTTCAAAAACTAGAATTGACGGATAGGGTAAAAACTTAGAATAAGGTACCAAGGTTCAAATTTATTGAATAGGTGTTCTGACGCATGATCGCACAAGTCCATAAAGATAGTCAGCAGTGATCACCTTTATTATTTTTCCAGTTACTTATTAATTATTAGGCAATATTCGTACTATGTTCTCATATTTGCCAATTAAGACGCTCGTTGTGAAGTACGATAGATATCGAACTGAAACAGAAGAGGATTATAGATGTTGACTATATTAAAAGGATTATAATGATTATATCGAAATCGATTGGCATCAGTGAATTGTTAATTCTGCAAACGACACATATACTATGCCTTCATGGTGCAAAAAGAATAAACTTAAAACAAAAAAAAAGCTGTCGTGATTATAGCGGATCAAGTGGCTCAGCACAAGTTACATGTCCAGATTTAAAATACGCCCATACGAAAGACATGTGGACTTTGGTGTACAGGACTAACTCCCAGAATGAAAGTGTAAAGTCAAGCCCATAACACACAGTCCTCATTCTCCATTTTTATTTTGGTGAACTTCTGCAACAGACTTGGTAAGAACTTTCTGAAGAATATTTGATTTCTGTTGTAAAAAGAAAGAGCCACGAGTGTGTTCAGCTGTTATATCTGCCAAAGGTGGACACTTTCATGAATCAACAGTTTAGAATACGTTTCCTTCGACAATAAACAGTAAAAAAAGTGGAAAAAGTGTGGCGTTCTAAAACTTTTGACCGGTAGTGTATGTCATTTTTTTCATTTAATGATTTTAAATTGATCCAAAGCATACAGTTTTGGTTTTTAAGTTTATCTCATTGCAAAACAAATGTGCATTTTTAAAACATTTAGTGACCACATTTCAACACATTTATTTAAAGTCAACATTCATTTTTTGAGTGTAACAACAGGCCTATCACAATACTATCACAATAATATCTTACTTTAGAAAAAGGTACACACTGCTTTAGGATTTTGTGTCTGCGCAGAAGCATAAAATAAGTGGTATTTATTATATTATATTATTTACCTGCATATTTTCTTTAATATATCGTATTTGAAAATGTGTTATCGTGACAGGCCTAGTTAAAATTGCTTACCACAGACGGCCCGAGCGGATACCCTGTCAAATCTTTTACTGCTGTTATGAGGACTTCACATAAGCACCATGAATGAACTGATTATAGACATGCAAATCCTTCATACCACCATTTTCTTCCACATTTCATAAACTTGCACACACTGTAAAACAACAATCTGAAATAAGTTAAAATTGCTTGAAATAAGTAGTGTTTATGTCCTTTTTTGTACATTTTGACAAGTAAGATTAAATGTCAGATTCTACTTACAATATGAGAAAATATCCTCTATCTGCTGCGAGCAAAATGTCAAAGCACTTCTAATAATAATAACAGCTTGTAATGAGCTTTACAGGTTTGTCAAAGCATCTCAAAGCGCTGCACTGTAATCATTATTCAGTCACTCTATACTCTTTCTTTCTATAGCCACAGCTGCCCCGGGAAAGACTGACGGTAGAAAGGTTGCCAATCTGCACCGTCTGCCCCCTTGACCACCACGAAAAACTGAAACATAAGTTATTCGCACGAGGCAAGGCAAGTGAAGTGTCTTGCCTAAAGATACAATAACAGATCTTAGTGTAACTTTCAGGTTGGTGGATTAGCGCTTTAATCATTAAGCCACTGTTGCCCCATTTAGTGGTTTTCAGAATCTATAATGTGATGATTTCATACTCTCAGATCGGGAGGGAAGAGGCAGATGTCCAGACTGATTACATTGTACTTTGTTGGGAAATATTCAAAAGGTAAATCCACAATTGTTGAACCTGATCATTGTCTTCACCCAAGAACTCACTGTATTACAACAAAAAATATTCATTTTCGCTGCCCCCATCTGTATTCAAAGTTGGGAAGTTGATAGTTACAGAACATCTGCATTAAAATGTATTTTGTAACGCATTCCAATATGGGCCAATCAGAACACTGTATTCTGAATACTTTTACAGAATACTTTTACAACGAGTTGCATTTAAATTATAGTGTAAAAACATGACATAGGGCAGACACGTCAGACTCAGGCCCGGGGGCCAAATTTGGCCTGCGATATGATTATATCTGGCCCGCAAGATCATATCAAATATGTATTAGAGCTGCCCACTGGCAACAGAGGCTATAAAGACACAATTTAAAATTTTGTTATGATTTTAAATTATGCTTGTTCTGGATTCACTGTTTAAGCAAAAACTATTATCAAACATTTTTATAAGAAAAGGTTTAACATTACATATCTCAAAAGAAGAGAAAACATGCAGATGTTGTTGACATTTTTCAGTAAATATTTAGTTTGGCCCACAACTTAGTCCCAGTTTTTAATTTTGGCCTCTGTGAATTTGAGTTTGTCAGTCCTGGTATAGGGCTAAAAACAACTTTCATCGTCTTGTCAATTTCCTATCACTGGCCACAAGAGCTGTGTTTTCTATTTTTGTCATTGATCATGTGCAGCTTGAAGCCTAAATGGAGCGATCAAGTACAGCCATGTATTCTCCTAATTTTAGAAAAGTAACTATATTCTGAATACCACTAAATGAAAAAATAACTGTACTTGAATACAGTTACTCAGTTACTTCCCAACACTGTCTGTAGTAAATATTATTGGGATATAGAATGTTGTGATGTTGTGATGAATCTCAGCAATTCTAGCAATTTTAACTTATTTAATATAATATATTCCATTGCTATAATTCATTCTTGTAACTTGCATAACTGTTCCTTCCTTGACCACATTATTTAGCAACAGGTGCAAACTGCAGCCTACCTGGTAAAAGGTGCCAGTAACGTCTGCTATAGTGACAGACATAGAGCTTTCTAACATTTGAGGCACTAAAAGAAATACATAAACCACTCAAAAACCTCATAATCACAATACAACTGCAGACACTGTGGGGTTTAGCACATTCACACTCGACACAGCACTTCACACAGCGAGAGGCGTTAAGCAGGCACATGGATACTCGAACCATAGCATATACAGCTCTGCACAAGCGGCTAACATGAGCATAGGAGACTAACGCACACACGGAGATCACACGCACTTTGAAACGCACGGGCCAAGTATTATTACAGCAATGACGATACACGACCACTCCTCTGTCAGGACGAAACGCAGGACGCACTATGGGCATGCTGTGAATGCATCAAACTACATGGAAAAATATATGGTATCTGGTTGGGCGATATTGACAAAAAGGACTATCACTGTTTGTTTTTAACTTTGCAATGCATCAGAAATTTGCTAAAACTTGTATGTAATTATGTATAATGATTTGACTGGCATTTTAGTATGGCATGAATGTAAAATGAAATGAAAAATAAGGGCAGAAATCTCAAATATACAATTTTTTTGAAAAGATTAGAGGCCAAATTTGTGAGGCAACATTTAAAGACAGATTTTGTTTTCATATTGTACACTAGATATCGCCCACCTCGATACTTTATAATGACTCATCTGAACGTATACTGACAAAGTAAGAGATGAGCTTGTTGCTTTTATAACATTTGGTTCTGAAATGAGTTCATCTTCGTGTGCAATGTATAATTAGCTGTGTAATTACACGTAGGTGAGATACTGTAGTAGATTTTCATGTTCAATTATAAATACTTTATATACAACCATACTGTATACTCAGCCATTCAGTCATAAAGGGTTAGACTGGCAAACACATGCACTATTTACACGACTACCGTTTGTGTTACACTGTGGGGTTTATTTCCATTTTTAAATCCTCTTTTGGACTTTTTGCACATTTTCTTGTGACATCATCACTTCTTTTGGGTTGATATGTGAACCCTAAATATCTCCCAGAAAAGGAAAACGTGGAGATAATCATCATGTGTGCAAACTATGACGTGAGGATTAAAGTAGGTTCTTTTGCAAACGTTAATTTAATTTAAGCTTTTATTTCCTTATATCCTTGGTCATTAGTTGTTTAGTGTGGCTTTTTTGAGCACTTGCAAGCTAAGGCCCTAGTATTTACACATGGAGATGCCTGGTGGTACATAGACACGTCTATCTCATGGCTTGATCTGTCCATTAACCTTGAATAGCAAAGGCCTTCATGGACCAAAGTACATCTGATTTCAGTGGTCATGTGAGACATGAGGTAGAAAAATGCCTTCATTTCTGGTATCAGTTGACATCTTCTACATGTTAACAAGCCATACTTTCTGGTTAATAATCTGGTATTAAGCAGTAGTAAATAGTAGTGTTAGTATAGCTTTCTATAAACTATAAGATGATGTTGTGTGAGTTGCATCATCAGAAAAGTGCTATATGGCTTTAATGTCTACATGAAAAAAATGCTATGATCTTTGTTTAGTCCACAAACTACAGTACGAATAATAAGTGTGTTATGGTCAATACGTCCTCCCAGTCAAAAATTTAGCAAAATTGTGTAAACGATTAGCTATGTTGTTATTAGAAAATGTTAATTTGAAACGTTTTTTAGTCGTAAACTCTGCAAAATATTAGTTTGCAGTTTGGCAGTTAATCTCTAAAGATAACACGGTGATTTAGTTGTGGTATTAACAATTAGTTAATTCAAAAAGTCCCCAATGTCATGTGGTACATTTACATAAGAATGACGTCTATCTACGATAAGTAATACAATGCAACAGCTATAAGTGGTAGTCCTCACCCTAGTTTCAGTTGTCTCCTCTTTGTTCCTGGGGCTCGATTGTCTACAGTGAAGCTATGAAGAAAAAAAGAAAGTGTTTGTTGTCAGTTTTTAGATGCTTGTGGTGGTGGTGGACTCAGCGGGTACTGGGGCGTCTTTGCTGGAATCCACTTTGACATCTACCGCGGCACCGCTGGACTTAAGCTCCACTTCCGGAGTTTTGGGGGCAACTGTTTTCGCCGTTCCCCCGATGACCTCGGCGTGATCCGGGCTCGCTTTGTGGTCTAGCTCGGCGGTCCCGTTGGTAATGGGCTCCGGGGTAGTGGGCTTGGATTTTTCGGGAGTCGGAGCCAGGGTGGTCTTCGTTTCCGGAGTGGGAGAGGGAGATTTTGCGGCGGGACTTGATTTTGGATCGATTGGACTCAGGCTAGCTTTGGGTTCAGGGCTCGGAGCAGGACTTAGTTTAATTTCAGGAGACTTTGGTGGTTCAAGTTTAGCTTCCACAGGTGGTTCTGGGGCTCTTTTAGGCTGTGGACTTGTTTTAGCTTCAGGTACAGGGGCGGGAGGCTTGATTTCGGCAGCAGGGGGAGCACTGGGTGGGGGGGCTTTAGAGGTAGCAGCAGACGGGGCAGATGGCTTGGGTTCGGTGATGCTTGCTGCTTCGGAGTCGGGGAGCTGATCGGCCGCATCTGTGTCCGTGTCCAGGGGCAGAGCGGTGTTAAAGCCCACCCCAGAGTCACTGGTCTCCAGGTTACCCACGCCCACCTCTTTGGATGACACCTCCAGACCCTGTCAAAGAGAAAGAGGCACAAATGAGACACTGTCAGGGAGATCACACCAGCACTTGATTTTCCCAGCAGTCTCTCATCCAAGTACTAACCAGGCCCAGACCTGCTTAGTTTCTGAGATCTACATAGCAAAGGAGAAATTCAATCTGTCAACTGGACAAACGTTTATTTGGTTGAATTTGTTACTCAGCTCATCAAAGCTTCTTCTTCAGTTCTCGTCAAAATTTTGGTGGACACTTGCTTATATCTGTCTGAAGGGAGGAGCTAACTACACTGAAACTACTCTGGAACTAACACACCTACTTGTTTACAGTTTGTTTGTTAGCTCAGCCTGTTGAACTGCATTGAGTGTGGGGTCTTATTAGCAGAATCATTCAGGGCCATAATGGCGCTTTTACACCTCTGGACCTGACCTGGCTACACCTGTTGTTCTCTTGTTTGTTTTGATTGAGGTTTGAGGATAGAGTTGTAAATAGGAGATAGATGGTGTCAGAGTCCTCCATTTCTGTTTAGAGAAGGACTCTCTTGATCTCCCTGCAGATAGATATAAGGAAGTGTCCACCAGCATTTTGACCAGAAGTGAAGAAGCAGCTTGGATGAGCTGCGAAATGTATTGGACGAAAAACACTTTTGTCCAGTTTTCAAATTGAATTTCTCCTTCGCCATGGATTCTACCTGGACAACTGAGGGATTTTTCACATCAGGCTACATATATTATTTTCTCTCTGTGGTGGAACATCTTTGACCCCACAGCTGCCCTGAGGTATACTAACAGATAGCCACAACCATCATACATAATGTGCATTTGGGGGTATGTTTCATTGCCATTTTAATCGGTTGATTTTCATTTTGCTTTATCAAAACTGCTGTAAACATGCCAGATTGTAGCCATAGCTTATTTAACTTGTTGTCTTGCATTCACTCTCACACACCCACTCTGATTTCTCACCCAGTGGACATGCACACATGTCTTTCCTAAGGACACAACAACAATAGGAACTAGAGCAACTGCCACCTCCAAGTACTAACCAGGTCTGACCCTACTTAGTTTCTGAGATCTGATGAGAATCTCAAGATGTTATGGCCATTTTTATTAAATGTTTTGTGAAGCCGTGTGCATAATTGGGCAATACAAAATAAATTAAATTGAAAATAGATGCTCTAATCTAACTCTACTTCTGTCACATTTAGTATCTGACAGTTGTACATAAGTAATTAAATCAAACAGACTCACCTTAATGTCAACTTCGGTGCTTTGTGATTTCTCCGTGTTGTCTGC